GAACTAAATCTTATACAATCAAATGACAGATAAATTAAGCAGAACATTTACCCATATAAAGAGAATCATTACTTGGATCATCCAATACTTCGTATAATTTTACCACATTAACATGATTCAACTTCTTGAATACAGCAACTTCACTACGAATCAAATATAGGGGATCTGATGTATTCGTTTTATCGCTTACGGGTGCGCCTCCTCGACCTCGAATCCCTCTGCCGCGTGGACGACGAAAGAAGTTTGCCTTATCTTTTTTGCGAAGTCGTGATTTGCTGAATTCTTTGACAGCCTGTATAATTTTTGGAAAAGAATGTACATTTATCCTTTAATGAACAAATAACTCTTATATAATAGACCTTAATTGGCGACATATTTTCACCAAATATTTTTGAATTTTCAAATTAGTCTAAGCTTAATAGACATTTTGTGACAGAACCTACATATTTCATTTTGGTTTCTTTGTCATAGGCTAAAATCACTGTACCATAAGCTCCCTGTCCGATTACGTCTTTCAAAACGTAGTTGTTTAAACAACGTTCTCCATCTTGAGTTTCAGTTACAACTGCATCTAATGTCTCTTTGACCTCATGTGGAACCGACGGTTCGCGTCGGTGTAAAAACGAAGTTCTTTTAGAATGTGCGAGCGGTGACATTACAAGCTTCTATCGTTTTAAATAGAAATTAAACGGCCAAGTAATTTTGTAGTTTCCAAGGAAAAGAAATCGCGCGAAAATTATATTTGTTATATAAACGTCGTCTATTTTAGAAATTTTTGTTGTACAGATGTACAGATCATCGATGACATAAACTTTACATTAAAAATTAGATATGGAAATGGAAATTCTCGACATCGACTTTTTACATGGCAAATTCCTACGATCCTGAAGTTATTATAAAATATCCCGATGAAATCGAGACAGAAAATTATGTCGTTGACTTCCTTAACTCGCATTTTAGAGAGTTGGAGGATCTAGAAAAATTGAACTCTACCTTAGCTGAACTAAAAGAAAATGAGCATTCGCTGGACGAAAAGGTGAACTGCTCTTCAAATGGTTATCTTTTTTTTTCATTT